TGCTGGCCGAGAATGCTGACGGTCGCCAGGGCCTGGTTCCGCGGGCCTACATCTCCAGATTCCCTCTGCTGCGTATTCCTCCCGCCAGCAGACCAATTCCGGCCAGATCACCATCACCGGAGCGCTCTGCCTCCTCACCGCTGACGACGTTGTTAGAAGCGGAGACGCCGAGCTCGGGTCGAACAACGCCTCAGATGGTTGAGCTGCCGGGACAAGGCGAACTGGAATTCCAGGTGGAGTCGCTTGATGAGTCCACCTGTGACAGCAGAGAGGAAGTTACGGTGGACCCGATACAGGATTCGGAGAACTTTGTCAATGTTGGCACAGGTTACGCCGATGGATCCGCTTCTGAAGAGGACTCTCCACCAAATTCAATCACCATTAGCGATGATGAGGTTGATGAGAGGAATCCTTCCGCAGAAAAGTCGGATCACGCCGACGTGAGTCCCTGCTATTTTTCCGCTGTTTAACTTCCAAGTTAACAGGACGACTGACTTCGTGACCCAATACTGTAGCACTGGACTACGTAACGCTCGGTGACGAAAACAGTTGTGGTCAAATCCCATGCCATCCTGATATGGTGTTGGGTACGGCTGGCTGACGACGGTTAAAGGACCAGAAATGGCCATCCAAATCCTCCTTGTCTTCGTTGGTTTTCCTTACTGAATTATTACTAGTTGCTACGCAAATGACTGCGAGGGCTTTAAATTGAGCCCCGAGAAGCGACGAAAGGGGCATATCCCGTGACCAGGTTGGTGAGGGCACTTCCACCATAGTTCGACAGTACCTCATGAAACAGGAAACGAAATCATCCAGTAGAGTTTGAGCAATAAAGAATTACCTACGTAGCGCTACGATACAGTTGGTCATGAACCGATTTCACAGAACTGTCGATGCATAATGCTCCAAAGGTGGGTATACTTTGGTTTTAAAAGGCATGTCTTTTCATATACTACCAGAACATGATCAGCTTATCTAAAGCCTCCTAGACCTCAAAAATGCGCCTTGTATACATGTTCTCTGGGGACGTAATTTTAGCTATGTCTCAGGTTAGCAAACTTAAGAGATCCGGGCCAAATAATTCGGCCGTCTATTCAAAGTTCTGATCGATTTTTGCACTAAACGTTCTGATAATGGAGAGCCGGCCAAGTTCTCCAAAACGTCAGTAAGACGATTCCCTCGATCTGGTGAGCACTTCTTTTTCCTCAGATTTGCTCCGTCTGTTGTTAGAAGGACATTTTGAGGTTCATGAGGTGTTTTTGTAGATCACTGTAGAAATTTAAACCAATGCGAAAGCAAGATCCGTTAGCAACGAACTCGTTACAAATTTTGTCTCATTATTTAACATTTCGACTGTAACGTAATCTGGATTATACAGTGAGTGACCGATCTCATGAAATGTTGGGCAAGATTCTGAAATGCGTTTTCTATTAGGAAGGATTACTTAGGTGGATTTGTACTACGGATGATCTCGCGGCATAATCCTATCGTATTTTGGATTTGACAGGATGTCGGTTTTTGAATGCACCTCTTTTCAATTTCCTGTAGAAACCGCATTCACCAAACAGTGATTACTTAAGTAGCATGCATTTTTCACACTGATTTTCGATGATCTTATAGATTCAAATATACTTTATAAAAAACACCAACAAAAATATTCTTTCTTTCACTCTTTTGATAGACAATCACGCCAACTTCATATTTTATACTCAAAGAAGTAGTGTTACCAGTTGTTAAAAATGTCTTCTATTTCCCGAATAATTTGGAGCCGAATCGGCCGTTGCATTAGGACCTAGTGATTTCAGTCAACAAGGTGCATGCGTTCTACGTAAGGAAAATCATATATTTTTTCATGCCTCTAAAACGATGCCATATAGAGTCCATAAAATTTTGCAATGGATGCGGACTATGTTGTACATTACAGGAGGAGCAGTGGTAAACGGAAGGGTGCGATGCTGTACGAATGGACATTGCATGGTCTTAAAAAATCTCTTAATTATAAACTTTTTTAAAACCTAGTTATACTCCTTCTTCGGGTATAAAATATGAGGATGACATGATTCCCCATCAAAAGAGTGGATGAAAGAATATTTTTGTTTGTGTTTTTTATAAAGTACATTTGAATGTATAAGATCATCGAAAATCAGTGTGAAAATGCATGCTACTTAAGTAATCACCTTTTACCGAGTACGGTTTCTAAAGGAGATTGAAAAGAGGTGCATTCAAAAGCTGACATCCTGCCATATTCAAAATACTATAGGATTATGCCGCGGAATCATCAATATTACAACCCCACCTAAGTAATCCTTCCTAATAGAAAACGCATTTCAAAATTTTGGCCAACATTTCATGAGATCGGTCACTCACTGTATGAGTTGTTTATAACAGATAAATTATTTAAATTAGGAATCCAAAAAAACAGAGAATACCTGTATCCTGTATGCTAAACATATTCTCGTGGGATTTTAACGGATTCCGTCAAAGCTTTCAATAGAAGCCAGCAGGCATTGGCTGATATATTGAGTTAAGATCTGACTACATGATTTTGTATTTCGTAGATTTAACCGGTCCGTCTCTACAATAGGTCGCCATAGGTCCATCCTAATAGTTGCTGCCAAACCTCCTTATTACACCGCTTGAAGTTAAATCCATCAGGATGTGGAAACCCAGGCGGGGTGAGAGCGGAAGGGCGCAGCAAGTTGCGTTTGGTTAATCGACCGTTGAGCATGGTAGGAGCGGGGCCTGAAAGTATTGAAAGTAAAGTAAGCCGAAAAGAGATGCCGAAATCGTTGCTGAGGAAAGTAGCCGAGGCTGAGATGCGAAAGACAACCTGATGTATAAAAAATCTGCCACGAGTTTGAGGAAAGCCTAGAATCTCCGCAAAAGGCCTGGCTGACAGGACACGCGAGACAGCAATACCCCAGACCTAACTGTAACCTCAAAAGCAAACCTAGTACTCAAAGTAATTATAAACTTGACAATAACACTAAACTCAATACTAAACCTATCCCTAAACCTACCACAAACCCCAACCCAAACCCTAAGCCTAATTATAACCCTGGCCCACCTCCCAACCCTAATCTTAATCCTGACCCAAACCTCAAGCCTCACCTCAACCTTGCCCCAACCCTAACCTTAACCCTCACCCCAACTCCAACCCCAACCTTAGCCGTAACCCTAGTCCTAACACTAAACGCAAACCTAAGCCCTAATCCAACCCTTAACTTTAACAGGAAACCTTAAGCCTAACATGAAGCCTAACCCTAAACTCAATTCTCAGCCTGACACCAACCCGAACCCTAAAACGAACCCCACCTCTGAACCGAAACATCAGGTTGCTCTTTTCCGTTTTAGCAGTAGCTACTTTCCCACTAACGATGTCATCATCCTTTTTCGGCTTACCTTACTTGCAATGCCCATATTGCGCTTACACGTGGGACCAAGACAGCGTAACTGACCCCTACCCCGTGGTCAAAGGTTGACTAGCCACGTTCAAATTTCCGCGACCTTCTACTCTCGCTCCGCCTGTGTTTTTAAACTAATTTTAATCCACTTCTCTAATCTCTGATATGTTTGACTGCATGAAGTTTCCATAAAATTGAACTGGCCTGAGGCGAATTTATCGGGAGCAGAAGTAAACTAGCCAACTCGTTTTCTGAATACTGCCGTGGGGCCTTTCGCAACTCATTAGGATGCTTAAACTAGAAGAGCCTGAGCAGACAGCACTTCATTCAATTTCAAATTCCTTTCTCTATTACTTGACCATTACTCGGATGGTTGTGTTTGTGGCACAAGTTGACGGGATGCCATTGCGTCCACTTTCATCATTTGTTGGTTGGCCGACTCGGACAGCCGACTGATGTATGAAGGAGTTGGGGCTCGCCAGCGAAGGGGCATTGGCTTTCCGGTCGAATGTGCTCCACAGCAAGGTGGGTTAGAGACGGTGACTTGAGCGTGATTTAGTTTAGAGTGGATCTAGATTTGCGCAGCATCCATCGAACCCCCTCCTCCCCCACCTGGACCCGGTGTCAAGACGTAGTCAGGAAGACCGGAGGCGGGGGAGGACACAGGTGGATAGCACGGTCGAGCCCGCATTCCCTGGCTCACACAGCAAATGACCAGGATTTTAACCAACGACAACAATGGGAGGCGCCGGGGTCCCAATGTGCGCGACGCCTGCCGGCAACTAGGTCTGCGACCCCACCCCGAGATGCCGGCATTTTCTATGATGCGCATTCCGATAACCCCTGCCAGGATCCGATATGGTCCCCTTGTTGGTCCAGCGCATTTACCACGTGGCCCGTTTGGGGGGGGGGGAAGTGTAACTGTCCAGTAGCACAATGGCCTGCAGTTCGCGGCCCATTACATAGGTCATGGTCTGTCCAGCCTATCCGCAGCATTTCGAGTCCGTACGCAAAAGTCTTTTGTTGGCAAAATCCTCACGGCTGGGCTTTACTGCATATCAGGTTCAAACTGGTGGCTGACATCGACGTGTTCATTAAAACAGATTTTTGCGTTTGAACCTACAATCCTGGATTGTAGACATCCTGCGAGTCCTTCTTAGGAAAACGTAATCTTTCAGCCAACACCTGTTGCAGCCGTTTTTTGTTCTAGAAGTTATCCTATTATCCTTCTTGTTGGATGATGAAACAGCGATAGTACTAGAGCTTTGAGTTGACCCCTCTGCGTTCTTGGCAATTTATTAATTTGGTCTCTAACCACTAAAGACCCCTTTGATATTCTTGCCTTTCAGACTACGGAGAAGTCCTGCTTGTCGGTAGATGATACCCTCCTCCGTACGGCAATGTAGGGTCGCTAACAGTCAGCCCCGAATGTAGAGTTATCTTCTTCGGATTAAATTACCTGAATTCGCCTTGCGAAGTCCTCAAAGCATTCTTACTTCCCATTCACACAGCACGTTCTTTTCTAAACGAAATCTTCCACTTTTGTAAGCCCTCGGATTGTCTTTTTTTGAATTCGACAGCCGTCCCCTTCATCAACCTCCCACCCGCCCACGCCCCTCCCCGAAGTAAATTTAAACCCCTGTTTGCAATCACCAACTTAGATATTGGTCCAATGCATTATTTTTCTATGCTCTGTGCAGTCTCATTCCTTCAAGCATTTCACGACTGTGGACACTTGCGTGGCCCGTTTACCGTCGCACACACCTTTGACTGACTAACCTCATCCCCTGGTACTATCCCGAAATGAAATTGTAATTCCCTTAGCCCTCCTCCTTGCACACACGGACACGCACGCACCCACTCACCCACCCACACGCA